CCCGACTTACGATTCTTGTTCAATTCCTCCTGTTGCAAAAATCAAGACCAAAACCTTAATTATTCATCATAATATCTGGGTTAAAGAAGTTAGATGCAAGAACTAATAAAGCTGGCTAACTGGATCATTTTCCAACAATGAGAAAAATATGCCCTCCATATAAAGTACCACGGCGAGACATCTGTCGAAACATGATGGTCTATAGCAATAAAAAAGACTGCACCTGAAGCCTTCGCACAAGATCTTCATGACTTTGCAGACCGACAGGTTTGCTAACAGTTTCTTTTGCATTGCTTAACCTTTGAGAAACTTCTGCCTATTCAACGTGAGAGACTCCCATGTAACATCAAGCAAATCACTTCTCAAGTCGTGTTTTTCAGTTAATGCTCAGAATATCTAACATTCATACTAACAACCATGCAATTTTAAGTTTCAGTACTTAAATTAGCAGATCAAGCATGTTTGGGCTGTTTTATTTCCACAGTTTCTACACTATATGTGAAGAAAAACGAAAATTTCCAGCTTTATACAAAATTAAATTTCAAATGACTGTGAGATTTACATAGTTCACAAAAGTTAATTCAGTAATTTTCACTATCCCAGGAAATTAGTTCAGCAACCACAAAGTACATAATCTGGCCCCATTGACAACACCTTTCTCTAGTGAAAGTTAATCAAAATTGGTGACCACATGTCAGCATTTGGTGACAAGTCAACACTAAGTTCACACATGCAAAGCAACTTGCCAACTCTAATGTTTACATGTAATATGAACTCAGAGGGCCTGAACACAAGACAAGACAGTGAATTTCTCAAGGACAAACTAGTTCAAATTTTTTGTAGAACATCCATGAACAAAGAAAAGAATGTTCAAGTAAGACAATTCAAACTATAATGTAAGTGTACCACCACTGGCTAATAATAGCCATAATGTAAGAACTAGTTCAGATCTTTTGTAGAACATCCATGAACAAAGAATAGAATATTGATCAACTAAGACAATTTACGCCATAATGTAAGCGGGACTACCGCTGGCTGATAACAGTGTTTTATCAACCTAAGGTGCAAAATCTAGCTAATGGACTTGCAGCAAATCCTCTGGATGAAAATTCAATAAAGATGTAAAATGAAAAGTAATTCACTCAATTGGCTAAACACTTTCTTTAAATTTAAAATAAAAAGTAATTCACTCAATAAAGATGTAAAATGAAAAGTGTTTTTTCTTTAAAAAAACACTTTCTTCACCCTTATGATTAATGATAATACTAAAATATATGAGTCTATCACTGCAGATTGTTTCAAGGAGGATCCTTATAAAAACACAAATCTCTTTAAAAGACAGTCGATGGTCAGTGGAGGGGTAAAATGTTTTTAGCAAACCTAGCTTCCAGAAAAGAAAAAGATCTCCTTTTAGCAACAATACATCAGATTTTATATGAGATTGGAACAACAAATAACTACTGCTAGAAGAAGACCCATTATAAATATAATATCTTAAAAGACTTAAATAATGTTTACCATCATCATCTCGACTTCCAAAATATCAACAACCGAAACTTTCTCCTGAACCCAAAAGGTTATGCAAACACCTAAATTTGAACCACTATTTAATATACATTATCAGTGAAGACCAACCTGACATAGTTCAAACTTAAAACTGCATATCTCTACAAGCATCAATTTTCAGGAGTAAGAAATGACATCATCAAAAGTACAAAAACCAATTTGTGCAATGATGTTAAAAGCAAAGGATAAACAAGTCAATATACCATGCATCTATCACAAACTCGGACTTGCTGAGCATTTTCTTCTGCAGTGAGAGCAATTCTACCCTTTGTGCACTTGTCGCAGAAAATATCGCCACAATTCCTGCAATGATGCTGAAAGTAAAGAATGGAATTGTCATGCTATATCACAAGGAAAATTGTGATATCAAACAACGTTGAAAAGAAAACTGATTAGATGAAAATCATCACCCTGCGATTGAAAGCTCCAAAATCTGATCCACATGATGTGCATTTGCTAACAGCTTCATCCGGAACCTAAATGTATGGCAATACAGGTATGCTTCAACTACTGCAGATCATAAGAATCGTAATAGCAATTCT